CGGAGTTGGGTCGTTCGGTGCGGGGTCTTCTAGGACGAATACTCGTTGAAACGTCACTGATCCCTGTCGTACCAACCAGATAAATACCTCGAAGGAGCTTTGGCAGCTGTTATTTTCGCTGCCGATGCCTTGAAGTCAAGGATCTGATTCTATAGCTAGTTAGTGATCTTCCAGCAACCTGGAGGAAGGATTGCACAAAACAGGATTCAACCATGTCATTTTGGATCCGCAAATTCCGTTGCTAGACCCCGGGTGACAGGAGGCTCCAACCTGCTTCATCAAATCGCACGATCTCCAGGTATTGTTGGGAATGTTGGGCCCACCAAATCCCCATACCAAACACATTTCTCCCAACGTTCCTCTGAGTCATGTCATGAAAATCATTATCATATGCAATAATGAAACCCGGACAAACGGATGCCGTAATGCCGTGAGACGAAATATCAGCCACCGGAAATCAAGGCTCTACATATCTCTACATGCTTACTGTACTAGGGCTTCCTATGGCTTCCTAGTCCTAGGGTCCTAGGGCTTTCCGGTTCAAATCTGATTTATATGGGTGGCTCACAGCTCCAGAGGTCCCGTGGGGTCCCATCACATCAGGATCAATGGGTCCTCATACCTTTCCGATGACTAACTAGAGGGATTTGGGGAAGCATTTGGGTTTGTCTAAGAACAGAGGGCTTCCCAAACTTGGATGGTTTATCATCATGTTCTCTCTTGAATGGCTATGTTGGAGGTACCCTCTGGTAATCAAACCTGTAACGAAGATTTTCTCAACTACAAAGGTCCATGTCGTCCGGAGATTTACCACATTTGACACCGGGCCTGGGGTAGCCAGCCCACTGAAACCGACACAGCCCTTTTGGGAATTGAGGTCCTTGAAGAGTGTGGCCAGCTGCCGCTCGGTTTGTCCAAAGAAGCCCTCTCTGAGGCTCTGATTCACCGCCCCGCTGACGGCGCTGATGGCGCTGATCGCCGTGGCGTCATCGTGGCACAGCTCCTGCGGCGTACAGGAGCTGACACCCAGAGGTTGGCCACCAGTGATCTTTGTTGCAGAAAAAAAGTGAACTACTTGATTATATATGTATATAGACAGATAGACATCAAGGCAGACAGACAAATAGATTTATTTGTAATTATATGATGAGATTAGATAGATAGATAGATAGATAGATGGATAGATAGATAGATAGGTAGGTAGATAGATAGATAGACAAACAGATAGATAGATAGATAGATAGATAGATAGATTAGATAGATTAGATAGATTAGATAGATTAGATAGATTAGATAGATAAGAAAGAAAGAAAGAAAGAAAGAAAGAAAGAAAGAAAGAAAGAAAGAAAGAAAGAAGGATAGATAGATAGATAGATAGATGGATAGATATAGAGATATAGATAGATAGAAAGATAGATAGATAGATAGATAAAGAGATAGATAGATAGATAGATAGATAGATAGATAGATAAATAGATAGATAGATAGATAGAGATTATGATAGATTTGTAATTTTATGATGAATGATATATCAACCATATAAACAATAAATTAAAAATGTTGTTTTTTTACCAACTCAAGCCTCGTTTGTGGGCCCCACCTTGTAAGTCAACCATCAACGAGGTGGGCTCCACTAAGCACATCGATGGGAGGTGTGTCACCGTGTCATATCCTAACCTTGAAGTTCATGCCGTCAGTGTCTAAATCACCCCAGTTGTAAGAATGGAACGTCTTTTGTAACTGTAGCGACTATAGTGGGTTCCTGGATTTTTGCTCAAGAATAATAATGTTGGGTTGTAGCCGCTTCTCCCACCAATGCTAAAACAATCTATTAAAACACCCAACATGCCAAAAGGAGCCTCCAACCCTGTCGATTTCATATTAGATTCGGGTTAAACCATGCTCCAGTAAATTGAAATCATTTGAGGATATTCTTGGTGATTTACCAAAGTTCACTCCTTTGTATAGTGCGAGGTGAGTTCTGTGAGCACTAGAGCAGCCAAGTGCCCTCAAACTTGACGCGCATTGTGTGACAATGGATGGCATGACTTTATTCATGGGATTCACATGGCGAAACCTGCAATCTTTGTCCACATTGGTCCATATTCACGACTTGCGGTCTCATGAGCTGATGCAAAACCCATGTTTGCCCCATGCCATGGTGTAAGGTTCTTTCCGATCGATCCGACCAAAGGCAAGGTCCCACATCAAAGATATTCAAATATAACTGGTTGGTGGTTGACCCACCCCTCTGAAAAATATGAAAGTCAGTTGGGATTATGACATTCCCAACTGAATGGAAAGTCAATCCATCCATTCATGTTCCAAACCAACCAGCCATTCATATCCATTAATCACCATTAAATCAGCATATTTGCCTGTTAAAGGGCTAAACAACCCCCTATTCCAACATCTCCCACCCATCTTCCGGAGAGCGCCGGATCCAACCTCAATGGATCCAACAAAAAACATGGCCAATCTCAAAGAACCACGAAGACAATGCTAGTTACGTTTGTAAGGAGAAGACCGTAAATGGAAATAAATAAACAAACACACACATATATATATATATAACACAATATAAAAACAGAAACATGATGAAACATGGCTGTTTTAAGCAGGCATTTTGTCTTTTCTTGGCATGGTGCTAAAATATCTCCACCAAACAGATCGAAATTCACCGCTTTACCGCTCCTCCGCCCGAGGCTTCAGGGCCGCATAGGCAGATTTGGCCTTCGAGGTGGTCTCATGAATCTCCCCAAAATCGCCATGATTTAGCTGAACCCCATGGTAAATCTTAGGGTCAAGCACCATCTTTGGATCAAATTCCAAGGTTTAAGTTTAAGGGACAATCTGCGGGAAATGAGAAACCATGGTTTTCAGCCCAAATTTTGAGTTTTCCTGCAAGTTTTCCCTGAAACAAATTCTTTGATCAAACCACGTCTGTGAACCTTGCCCTCCAGTTTCGGAGAGGTAGCCGGAGTGATTTAAATGGTCAGCGATATGTGACAGAAAATTGAAACACTGCGGCAAGGTATGATGGAACCTATCTGGGGAATGATCTTTCCTGTTGGCTATGCCTCTTCGAACAATCTTCCCCCATGATATATGGGGCATGAGCTTGGCCCTTTTCGGTGGTTCTTTCTCTGTGCAAATTCAATGAGTCCTATATATATATATATATGAATCTGAACTAGGATCATTTTGACGACGGTTCACCTTACTTGCCACCATTTGCGGTGATGTGGCCAGTGGGGTCGCTACTGGCTATAATTTCCCCAGTCGAAGTTGAACAGAGTTGCGTCTTCCAAACTCAGCTTGGCGAAAGCATCGCTATCCACAACCTGGCCGACAATCGGAAATTCTCACCGTAACTTTCAATGATGTTTTTCCCCTCTGACTAGACATCGTTGTGCTGCCAGAGGGGAATGAGAATGAACAATCAAAGAGCAAGCGAACAGCATCGTAGATGGAAGGTCACACACAAAATAGAATTGATGTGATCAATATCAAGAGCTGCTCCGGACTGATAAAGGTCCACATGGTCAACAATTTTGTCTTGGTAAAATTTGGCAAGGTCTGTCACCGCCTGTTCCCCGCCCGCAGGCCACCTTGGACACCAACAGGCCCACCAGGGGCAGAGCTTTCGACCAAGCGTGCAACAAACCATTGCGATGCGCCTCCTCCGCTTTCCTAACAGCGGCTTCGGTGTCATCAAACATGGCTGGGAAATCCCGAACTAAATGCATGTTTTCATGGGAGAATCATCTATATATAAACAAGGAAAGTCCATTGCAATGTGTGAAGGTAGCCAAAATGGATGTTGTCTAGAAACGCAGGAATGATTGAAGCAAGAACAATATAGCGGATGCACGTCCAAGTGTATGGTAATTTTGATATGAACATGATGATCAAAGATGGGTTTCGCCCAGAAATGAAGGAGCTAACCCACAAAACATGGGGGATAAACACATACTGGGGTGGGTTTGTTCGAACATGAGATTCCAGGTGCCATGTGTTCAGACAAACCAACCAACCCATACTTGTTCACAAGTTGCCGCGGTCCAGCCACTTTTACGCATGCTTCAGCATGCTTGAGCCAAAGTATGTTATGGGATATTGTTTATCCCAACTGTGTGAAAAGGCCCCTGAACTTGTTCGTCCCCCCCCACAGGTTAAAGGATGTAAAAAAAGGAAGTTTTAATTAATATGGTGCAGGCTCACCAGCAGCCGCCACCGCGACACGTTCTCATCGGCCAAAAGCCACAAAGCGCCGCAGTCAGCAGCTTCGTTCCTAAGTCACCCGCGACAAGCGCTGGGCTGACCCTTTGGATTTACTTAGGCTTAGAGGAAATTTTCGGTGGAAGGTCCACGCCGATTCTTGTCCTCATTGCGAAAAACGATGGCCTGACCATTGCCTTAGTAAAGATGTCTGCAAGTTGATCCTCAGAGGGCGTGCTAGTGGGCGTGATATCTCTGGCCTGGATGGCGTCGCTTAAGGCTGCTACACTGATTTTATGGGTCCGGTTGAGGGCCCTGAGCTTTTGACTGTACCCGGTTCGTAGGATGACCAGAACCGCCTGGTTGTCCTCTTGCAGGACAGTTTGGACAGTTTCCTTCAAAACCATTTGGAGTACAGTATTCATGGGCAACCCTTCTTCGAAGACCAAGGTGGATGCTGATACTATGTCTGCCTCAGTGGTGCTTCTTGAAACACACGACTGGCGTTTTGAAGACCAAAACAGGGGGAAGAACGTACCGTCGTCGTCCATTACCACAATAAAATGTCCACTGTGGGATTTCATGGTCATTACGTCACCTGCGAGGTCCGCGTCTGCGAACAGATGCAGCCTTGGTACTTCCTCATTTGCAATGACAGTTCCATGTACCCCAAAATCAATTGTGGCCTTGACGTAGCCCAAAAGTCTGTAAAGCATCAAGTCATGGTTCCTGGTCCACTTAGATATGTTACTGGCTAACGAAGAAATGGCGAACGCAATGTCAGGCCTTGACAATCTGGACAACCATAACATCTTCATCAATAATTGTGCAGCTTTGCCCGCGAGCTGTCCAGGTTCATTATACCCTTACCGATTCAGTGACGAAAGGGGTATCATACATTTTGAGGGAACAGTTGAATTGGTCCTCATACAGCTTATAAGCGGTGATGGCATAATCTTTCATGAAAAGGAAAACCTTTTTACCTTTTGGAAATTCATAAATCAGATGGTCCCTGCCAATATATCGTCCGGGTTCCGACACTCCATCAATTGTAATCATCTTACCGAGTTCTTCCCAGAAAATTCCCATGGACGCTTCTGGGCCGCTTGCCACGATGTCGTCGACGTACCCTGCGACCAAGAGTTCCAATGAAGGGAACCACCACAAGGACGACTCTTTCTCCTTGGAGTTTCCTGACCAAAGTGCCATCGAAGTAGCAGGACCAGTCATCACCACTGGTCGGTGACCGTATATTGCCTTGTACAGGCGTGCTGCAACCCTCCGGTACCTCCCAAACCAATGACCATGCCACATTTCTTTGGGCAAAATCACGTAAGTCGGGACAGGGGAACCGATAGGAGCCTGTAAATATGCCCTCTGAGCGTCAGCTATTCTGACGCAATTTCCTTCTTAAACCATAGTGAAGTAGAGTACTAGGTTTATCGTGGAAACAGTGGCTGGCAATGATTTGAGGTCCCTGAACAAGGCTAAGTCCCCATTTTGATCCCTTGTTTCGTCACCTCGAAATACTGATCGGACTTTCAGCTTGGCCCGTTCAGCTGACTCGGCGTGTTTGATGCTCCCTATGGGCATGAGTTCCGCCACGTGCACGGTCTTTCCCTTCTCTGGGGAGATCCGTTTCAAGTCTTCTAGCTCGAAAAGTTCACCCACACCTTCCCCCCAAACTCCTAAGGCTCTCATGGCATCCGCCTCCTCCTTTATTTTAGCTTTCCCTTGAGGGTGATTCAATAATTCAGTTCTTGACAACGGAGTGTGAATCATGCCAAAGACGAGTTGGGCCATGAGGATACCTTTTTGTTCATGGGCTATTGCCCCGTGGACGGTGGGAAGTTTGGGTACATGGTGGAAAGCAACATGGGGGTTCAAGCCAGAAAGGATCGCTACAGCCATCTTTGTGTTGTACATCCCTGACCTTCGATCCCCTTCAACAGGATCATGCCTATGGCCAGGTGGGTGACTACATCCAAACCTATCCAAATTGACCGCCAGTCTCTTGTCAGTTGTAACAACCCTCCATTCCTTCAGTGGAAATTTCCCATCTATTTGAAGCCCCATACCACACCCCGTGGGGTAAGCAGCGTACATGTTGAGACGTGAAATCAGATTTGTGAGCTTGTCATCTTCCCAACCCTCACACCCTAGCGGCCATTCGAATGACGCCGAACCCCCCGAAGCTACAGCCACATCCGCCAAGAGTGCATAGTTGTCTAACAGCGCCTCAATGGTCTGTCGTTTCTCCTGGAGTTTCTGGTCCTGCGCCTCCCCTGGCCGAGCCCTGCTCAAGTGCTGAGGTGGACAGCAAGGTGCACATGGAATTGATCCCCACAAATCAATGGGCTCACCCTTTTCTGAAGTTTCATTGAACCAGTACAATACTTGATCAAACACTTGTGGGTCAGTGAGGTCCCCAAAATCTCTGGACAGCCCTAGGTAAGGAATGGAACAAGCGTCGGCTACCCTACAATGCTTACTTGCGTGGATTCTCTTCGGAAGTTACATTCCTGGGGATTCCTGGGGACTCCCGGGGACTCCTGGGAACTCATGGGTTTCAAAGATTTCACAATCCACACAAGTTAACGCCCATACCAACCTACAACAAACTGAACCCTTTGCAAGCCATGGGCGGGAAGGGCGAAAAGAACCCGCACTCTTAGCTCATCTGCTCCAAACTTGTTTGGATCGCAACATGCGATAAGAATGCATCAACATGCTTACACACCGTTGCTTTTCAGGTCCATGCAAGACAGCAATATGACAGCACGCTTGTAGAGTTGAAACTTACAGCGTCTGTCCATGTGATGGTCGTGGCTTGGCTAAGATAGCACGGCTTGCAACGTGCCGGGTCTTTTTATAACTTGGCGTGGCTGCTATTCAGATAACAACACCCCCGTGCAGCAATGGTTGAAAAGGACCCTTCAGGCAATTGTAGCAGGTACGCATGGCTGATCAGGTCGGACTTCATCAGTTTTTCCCAGATGCGTTTGGTGGCAGACTCTGGTCCCTGCTACCACTCCCTGCCCAAACTGTGGAACTCAGCGCTGCTTAAATATTGTTCAGAACAAAGCTGGACACACAGACACACACTCACGCATGTACATATAGATATATATATATATAAATATATATATATATATGTGTGTGTGTGTGCATATATATATATATGTGCATATAATATTTATATATATATATATGATATGCATACTATAAATGAGCTCCCGTCAAAATCCTTTACATCTGAGTAGTTGATGGTTATCGCTTTCCAGGGTTTTGTGGACACCAGCATATTCGAAATCCAACATGAAGCCAAAATTCATTCCTAAACAGGCTCGGAAATGGATCGAGCAGTTGTTTTGTCGGTTAGAGGTGCTTCGGTTTTGTTGGTTGCAGGTGCTTCGGCAACTCTTCATGTTCCTTTCGTGCTGCATTTATTTGGATGCATTTTCCTTCATGTTCCTTTCATTTACATGCATCTTCCTTTCGTTGTGCATTCATTTCCTTTCATTGTCCGTTAGTTTAATGTTTCTTTCACTGGTATTCATTTCCATTCATGTTCCTTTCATGTTCCTTTCAATTTCATTCCAATGTGCGTTTGTGTCCTCTCATCTTCCTTTCACTTGCACTCATTTTCCTTTCGTTTTGCATTCATGTCCTTTCATGTCTTTTCCAAATCTAAAGTTATGGAAATGGCGCCATGGCTTGGCCAAGAAACTGACTGCAACAAACGGTTATCGCGCTAAGTTATCGCAAAGGTTATTGCTAAATAACCCCTCCAACATGTGACATTGTTCGAAGCAAATTTGCAACAAAACGAGAGAGAGAGAGAGACAGAGAGAGACAGAGAGAAAAAAACAGAGAGAGACAGAGAGAGCGAGAGAGAGAGAGAGAGAGAGCGAGAGAGCGAGAGAGCGAGAGAGAGAGAGAGAGAGCGAGAGAGAGAGAGAGAGAGCGGGACGCGAGGCACGCGAGGCACGCGAGGCACGCGAGAGAGAGAGAGAGAGAAAGGAAGGAAGGAAGAAAGAAAGAAAGAAAGACAGAAAGAAAGAGAGCGAACGAGTTGGATGCCAAATGCCAAATGCTATTGCTATGGTAACTTCAGGAAACAAGGCACCACAGGTTGACTTTCCCTCATCGGGTTCGCAGTTTCGCAGTTTCGCCCGGCCCGTTCTGAATGTGCACAACAGTATTTGCTTGGTTTACAGCAAGCTTAATGGAATGGACTGCCGTGTATGGTCCAATGTTATCGCTTTTGCGGGGGCCCCTCTCGCTTTACAATGTTTCGCGCACGTCTCGGGAAAAAAACTCCTGCAATAGTACTAAAGTAGTCTTCAACCACTTTGACCGTGGCTGCCGTGGCTCATGTATGTATATATATATGTGTGTGTGTGTGCAAGTCTTCAACTATAGGCTATAAAACTATATCGCGGAGAAGTTTTTGCAGCATGAATGAGTCGCGTGAGGCGTGAGGCGTCCAGGTATGACGGTATGACGCAGCATCACATGTTCCGCCGCCAGTGCTTGTGATTCTTGTGATCTTAGACTTAGATGCATTTATTTTTCTTTCTATATCATGCATGGTAATGTATAGATATATGCTTTTCGGGAGGGCGGAGGGCACAAACCCCCCAAAATATTCAAACTGTAGCACCTTGAGCAGCCTTGTGCTGTCAGCACATGCCAATGAATAAATGCTTTCCGATACAAGAAGTTGGATTTGAAAGTAGCTCCAAGCAAACAAAATGCAACTCGCGCAAATCAAAATTTCAGACTGTGTTGCCACAAAAAAGTGCCCTGATTGACATCATTTTTCTCAGCGATCTCGAATCTCAATACTGATTTTTTTTGTTGCCTTGGCGACCCTCAATGTTATCACAAACAAAGCTGGGATGAGACTGGAAGTGGTTGACTGGATCAGCTGCCATGCAGAAAGACACTGCTTGCATTTTTCCACTTCGCCCACCGTCTGTTCGGATTCGCATCTTCCACACTCTGGCGGAAAAACAACAAAAGTTGGCCCAGGTTCGGTTCAAGCCTGCGGCACACAACCCACAACAAAAGCTTTGGACCGACTTACCCACACGGCAACACAGTGTGGCACGGCCAGTGTTCTCACTCAGCCTCCGGGGGCTGCAAGAGTTGCAGGGTGGCTTTCATCTTGTCAACAGGTTTTTTGCTGGCCTCGTAAAGTCCAGCAAGCAAGCCATAGTTCTCATAGGAAACAGGACTGGAAAACATGACTGTCTTCCGCAGCCCATAGACCAAAACGCCTTTCACAGAGCGCTCCGCAGCAACCCACCCGATAGGCACATAGACGACCTGCCCCTCAGTCTGGCGACAATAATGGGCCGTGCATCCATGGGACTGCAGCTCTGCGATCTCTTTCAAGCCGAGGTTCTTGACAAAGGCCATTACACCCTCCAAGCCTCCGACATCATCTTTGGAAAGCATAATCTTCATAGCCGGGATCAACTGTCTCAACTCAAACATGGTCCAAGCCACATCGCCTGAGCACTGAAAACGCAAGCAGCCAAGTCCATTGGGCATGCTGCCAACAAAGCTGCCTTGGGCATCAAGGCCCTGCAGCCAGCTCGCTTTCAGAACATTCTTCAGGTAAGCTTCCATCTCATCATTGGGCTGGATGAACGGAGACTTGAACAGCGCAGAAACTGACGCCCACATTTCCTGGCACTCATCCATCCCATTGTTCTTGGCAATCATCTCCTGGCACTTGCCGGTGCTCTTCATGTTCGCGTTCTTCTTGTAGGAACCACCAAAGGAAGTGAGCATCAACTGCACCTTGCAGCGACGGCTACAACCCTCAAAAAAAGAACCGATTACTTCAAGTTATTTCCACCCTGCAGCCATGATGACTTGGGCTTGGGTACCAAAAGGCGGAGCACAACTAGCAGACGAATTCGGTATAGCGGCAGAAAATTTCACAGAGGCATCGACATAGGTTCTGAAATAGATATGGGACAGGCATGGATTCAAGCGTAAAATAAAGTCATCGTTCTGACCTAGTGGTACAGGCCCGGCATAAAAGTTTCGTCATAGGCTATGACATGACATGTCCTTATTATAATTTGGCACAATTTCTGGGGTAAGCGCTGACAAAGAATTACCACAGGCTCTTCAAAAATGTTGCTGACTCTGTTGCTGTGTAAATCCCGACATGGGTGTCTCTGACGAACGATCTAAAATCATCTAAATATACAACTGCAGATTCCGACTGGCACAAGTGCTGGGATGTAGTGGGCACATACGGTACGGGTGAAGCACAGCACACCTGCAAAAGCAGGCGCCTGATTCAGAATGGCAAGAGACCGCGAGAGACTCGGAGAGACACGGATTCTGGCAAAACATGGAGGACAGCAAGACTAGAGACTGGGAGCAGCAAGGACAGCTGACATGAAATCTAGCCCCCCACCTGACAGGCGATGAACTAAGTGTCTGAGCAAGTGTGTGTGTGTGTTAAATATATATATATACATATATATATATACGCATTATACAAGTATAATTCTTATCTACTGTATGGATTATAGATGCATGTTATGCCCCCTACCAGCATCGATCTAACTCCTGTGCTCCGGGGGTCTCCGTCCCCAAGGGGCGCTTTTGGATTCTTCGTGAAGTCTGTGAAGAAAGCGCAGTTGGAGATACAGCATGGCGACTCCAAAGTAGCGATGGAACCCTTGCCTGGTCCAGCAGTTGCAGTGATCATCTTGCCAAGAACAGTGCCATCTTCTCCCTTGGCATTGTCCCAATCAATGCCAAAAACAGGTGCCAAGACTGTCTCCTGCTTTTTGATCTCTGCAGCTGCTTCCTTCGCTTGCTTCTTCTTTTTCTGAACCTCTGTCTGCTCTTCCTGCTTGCTTTCCTGCTCACGCTTGCGCTTCTGTGCTCTCTGCCGTCCTACAATGTGGCTCTTCAAGCTATTGGCAGCCTTGGTAGCCCCATCTTTCAACTGCTTGACCATAGCCGCTGCTTCTTTCAAAGCTAGAACTGCGGTGTTCAACTCCTCGACAGTCTCAAGACCCATGAAACTCTGAAGGATCTCCTCCATGTGAACCTTGGATCGCAAACTTCCAGCTGCAGTGATATGCTGCGCGGTGCTCCCAGCACCCTCGAGAGCTTTCTTCAAGTGGGCCGTTAACTTGGCAGCGGCCTTGGCAGGCGTGCTGCCAGACTCAGACTTGCCATCATCTGTCTTGGGTTTCGCTGCGCCAGGCGCGGCAGAAGCATCCTGTGCACGTTTGAGGATGGTGTAGCAGGTTGGGAGGTCTCAGCCGGCTCACGAGGATGTGGTGGTGAGGAGTTGGCTGCAGGGACAGTAGCCGGAGCAGATGGCAACGGCTGCTGAACAGGTACTTCAGACACACTGCTTGCGCTCCAGATGTCCAGCATGTGAAGTCGCACCACGCAATTCTTCTCATAGGCCAGCTGCAATTTGTCATCACTGGGGTCCTTCTGGGCCAACTCCAATGCCTCAGTCCAAGCTGTCTTGGCAGAGTTCACCATAGCTACGCAAGAGGTGATGACCTTCTCATTCTTCTCCAGAGCTTTGGGAGCCGCGATGGCAATCTCCACTTTGTTGCCTGCGCCCGGAAACCAACAATGCAAAGAAACACATTTCCCTGAGCTGCATTTACCTGCTTACCTGGTGACAAGTTGACAAAATTTCAAAACAGACACACATGGGGTTTTAATTCCCCAAGCAAACTACAACGTCTCATCAACCAGCCGGATGCTAAAGAGTCCTGCAAACAGAATGTGGCTATGTCGGCTATGTAAGAAAGGCAATGCGCAACAGAAACGGCATGAAGCAACAAACCTGAAGACTGCGAGTGAAATCCGCTGACATCACTGGCTGCTGGGGTTGCAGGCTGCGGCTGCGACTGAGCATCGCTGTCTTGGCGCCCGCGACGCAACCATGAATCTGCGAAGGAATCCCCTTGGCGGCGAACATGGTCCAAAAGATGCTGCCTGCAAGCAACACGCATCTCAACTTGCACCCTGTCTGCGTCACACAATGGATTGTCTGACTCTTCATTGCGATTTTGCTCAATGTGACTCAATGTGACATCTATGAAATCTAGGTCCTATCCTAGCATGGAATCTGAAAAAAAGACGACAGAATGACAAGAAAGATGCATGCTGATGCATGGTCAAACAGTGAAAAGGAGCAAATCTTTAGTGCAACAACATAACACTTGAATGAAAAGAACCTGCAGGCGCAACCCGGACTCTTGAAACAGCAAATTGACAACTGCCCGGGCCTGTCAGTATCAGGCATGTCCTTCATCTGGCGGGACCCCTCCTGCAACTGGTTGTCTTTGTAGCGCACCGTGTCTTTGAAGCGTTCCTTGTTCTTCTCGACCCATACCTTTGTGTCAGCCCCTTCTCCTTCTCGCCCAACATCTGTCTCCAAGAGCTGCTTCCAAGCATTTTCAGCATCTTGTTCTGACAAACCACGTGACATCTTCCAGCTTACAAAATCTGTGACGTCCATCAACTCCTCCCTGGATCGATCACGCACCTCAGCGCGCTTCCCATGGCTCTGCATGAAGGCGCCCCAATCAATCAGCTTCCTGCGGAAACGTCCTTCAGGATTGCTTTGTGCAAATTCTTCCAGGCACAGTTTTGCCTTGGTTGGATCTTGCAAGGCAAGCTCCAGGGTGTTCATCACTTCTGTATCTTTCTTGGTCTTGGCCTGGTAGCGAATTGCCTCTACATCCTTGGAGTGTTGCTGACAGAACTTGCTATGGCTGCGCACTTTGCGCTCACATTGCGCAACAAAGCAAACCTTGTTGCTGTCCGACTTGGCAGTTTTTTTTGCTGCGGCGCTTTTCGCACGGCCGCGTCCACGACCACGCCCCTTACCCCTACCAGAGCCTTTGCCTGGAGCGCCGCCACCCTGGTCACGGTCCACATGCTCATCATCATCACCATCACCGCTTTGCAACTCCATAGCCTCTTCGAAGTCATCGCCACCACCAAACATATCCACATCGGCCATCACGGCGCCACGCCGCCGGACCGGAGAACTAGAAAGATCTAGCTACAGGCTAGAGGCGCAAGCCTCTAGGCAAACTGAACCCTGTCACTGTCTGGAACACTTGAGAGGTTGGCTGTGGCCGGCAAGCTGTGCGATGGTGCTGCAGAACAACTGATGGAAAGTGTTTGTCAATCTGTGAAACGCGGATTGCTGATCACTCACTCTCACCACAAGCCAAAACTACCTTACGCCTCCTGATATATGGTCGCAAGAATGTGAAAACTATGGGCACCATTGCGGCACCATGCGTTTCACCCTGTCCAAGCTTCAAAACAACCGCGCAACTGCCAGCTTCAGTGACGATGAGTGACAAATACAACTTGCGATCAAAAATCTCTTTGCTGCTCAACATGCAACAGACCCACAAGTCCGCAAGTCCTACATCTTTTCAAACTTTTCGCCGCATGTATCAGCCATCAGCGTGAGCGCGGCACCCACTGCAAAACGAAACCGCTACATGTACCCCTATGGTGTGACAAAAAACCATTGCAGCAAAAACCGTTCGTCGGTATAGGCTCTTGTCATCATGTCTGGTCCAATCTGCAACAGGAAATCTACAAGCTGTCATGGGGTAAGGAATCTCCATCATCGCCCCAAGAGGTCAAAGAATGCAGCTGGCCTGCAGGCTTCTTCTTGGAGACATAGCCAATGGCAAACAGCATGAAAGCAAGCTGCGTTCGCAAATGCATGGAATTGCCCGAGAGCTGCTTCACTTGCGACGGCAAGAAATCACAATTGGCCAGCACCGTTGCCATCTTCGATTTTGGGAAAATAGGAGAATCCCCAAACATTCTGCAGCCAAGCGCGCCCAAATGCTCCTTGGCAGTTGCCAAAAGCCAAGTTGTCTGGTCCTCATGTTGGCGCAAAGAAAGGACGGATCCGTGGGTAAGCTGCGTTGGCCATAGCTCACCTCCAGCTGGACCTCGATTCAAGAAACCGTGGGTCATGTGTTGGCCTACAGCAAATTCGCAGTTCACAGTGCCATCCTTTTCAAAAGCGGACTGTCACAAGTCACAAGCACATGTTCCGCAATTTTTAAGATTTGAAACAAAATCAAAACAGGAAAGTATGTGAAAGATTGAAGAAGCCAGCAATTCAGCGCAGTCCAAACTATTGGCTAGCAACCTTTGCCACCAACAGAGTGGTCCACATCACAAAGGAATGCCCGCAGCTTGTTGGTCTCTTTCAGCTTCTCCTGGTAGAGCTGAATCCATCCCTGCATTCGCTGAATGCCACCCGGAGGGAACACCAAGCTGCTCAACTTGTCATAGTCTTGCAATCGAACAATCTGGGTCATCTCATCCATCGTGACGTTGTTCTTGCGAGCCACGGCAATCTTCATCATCTCCTCAACCCGCTCCTCCTCACTGGCCTGCAGAAGAAGGTCTCCAGCAGCCACCATCTGGCGGTGGAATCTTCCAGCGTACTCTTCCTTCAGATCATCACTGTCTTGGGCGCCATGCCAATCCAGGGTCAAAGTGTTCACAACAACTGCCAAAACTCTGGTACGACGATGGGGCCACCCATGCCACTCAGGCCCATCAATCCAAGCAAACACGGAAGCCAAGTCACCAAAAGCTTGTCCAAGTTTTTCCTTTGCAGGAAACTTTGGCGTGCATTCCAGAAATGCCATGTCTTCCTCCTTTCGTTCAAACCTTGCGACACGTTCTGCGATCCAAACTGCTAAGGGGATCTCTGACTCATGTGCATCACCTTCATTCGAGCCCTCACAGCTCCATGCGTGGCACGTCACACCGGCCACATTCAATCGCAGCCTCTGGTTCACTACAGGCACAGCAAAATCCGCGGGGTCTTGTGGATGTACCAGGCACTGCCTGACATCAAGCAAACCGGCATGAAGAAAACAAAGCAAAATTCTGCTCTTTCACGCCTGTGGTTTCAGAGGGAAGCTAATGTTAAAAACAAGTTTGCAACCAGAAGCCCTGAAGACTGCTCAGCACTCAGGACTGCAGGAACCAGAAAAATGTGGAAAGATATTATGTTTGTCGCAGCTAATGGGCAGAGAATGATTGCAAGGAGCGACACCCCTCCCATGGACGTGATACAAAACATGGCAGATACAATCAAAAACAAAACTGTCCACACCTGCGGTGCACGATGCAAAAGCTTGTGGCATTCGAAGGAAAGAGCCAGCTCCGATTGTCCATAAGCCACTCCCTGATGCTCTTGAAAGCTTCTGCACGCTGTTCCCTAGGCAAACTTTTGTCCGGTGTGGCTGCTCTGATCCAAGTTTGGCTCTCAGGAGGCAAACGGTCCAAGATGTCCTCGAAATGGCACCGGCTGTCATCATCGCAGGAAAGAGAAACTTCACGCTGGAGCTTCTTCTGGATTGAACCCTTGTCACATGTGCGGCCAACCCACACTGGCACACGTTCTGGCTCTGCTTCGAAATGGTGCTGCAATGCTTGCATCCCCATCTCAAGCGCTTCTCGCGGGCAGTCGAGGCCACTATAATCGGTGTTCAAAGCTATGCCACAAAGCAAACGATGCCGCAGCCGCATGCTGATCTCGTCACCAGGATCCTTGCACAAGGACTGGATGACGTCCAGCGGCCAAGACAACAAATCTTCAGGCGTGCGCAGGCCTGGGCGAAAAGTATGAGAACCTGCAAGGAGCTGTTGCTCCTGAGCTGAGTCAGCATCAAGTGAAGAGACCTTCTGAAGCATGCGGCGGCGCTTTGCCGTTGTCAAATTTGCCATGGCCATGAAACCTAAAAACCTGAAGCGGTCCTAATCCTAAATGCCACACTGCAAAACAATCTTCTGGCAACAGTACACCAATCTTGTCCCTGGTTCTAGTGAAGTCAAAGACTATCAGCATCACACTGGCCGACCCACTCCTGCTACTGTTGCTTGTCAAGAAAAAGAAGCGAGCAACACCCGCAAAACATCAGTGACATGGAGATTTGATGAGCTCATGTTGCACCTGTGCCAATCGAGTTGAATAGAAGAATCATTGCTCCGATCTGCTCACCATATTGTTGCACACCGAGCAGGCATGCAAATGAAACACACATGTGACTGCCAGGTTTTCTCTGCAGATGAGGCGCCAACTGCAACAACTTGAAGAGAGGTAAGATGCAACTTATAGCATCAAGGTGAAAGGTTGGAGGACAATACATCCAGTTGAAAATATTGAAGCTGCAACTGCTAAACATCAAAAAAACGAGTGTGAAAAATAATGACTAAAAACCCGCAAGTCAACAGACAAGGGCGTGTGACAAGGTAGCTCGCGTGTGAGGAAGGAGGCTCCCCAAAAAATAGGGGCACCTTTTTGAAGATCAATCCAAACACTTTCAACTCCAGCACTCGGAAGAAAGGAGGCGTTACCTTCACTGAAACTGCTGTTTCTGAACTACTAGTCCACTAGAAAAACATGGCTCAACCCATTGCCTTTAGAGGTGCAAGATGTGGTCTCTTATGGCTGCACTTCAGAACAAAGAAAGGGGAAAAGGTTGGAACTTGCCATCCTGGCCTAGTATGAAGTTGTTGCTGCTTGCTATGCAAAAGAAAAAACGGGTTTCAGGCTGGCAAGTTTGCAAGACAAACTCCAGCAAAACCAAAAACATTCAGAACTGACCTGAGGCAGACCAAACTGCGGCCTTCGCTCAAGACTGGGTGGGGCCAAGTGGACCACTGCTTCCACTACAACAGAAGCTGCGGGGGTGGGAATGGAAGGGAATCAAATGAACATGGCTGAAACTACCGGGAGCTACCGGCTACCGGCGCAGGAAAACCTTCACTGCACAGAAACGCAAAAAAAAATGAAAAAAATGCAAAATGCAGTGATTTTTATCATTTTTCAAAGAAAATAAGCGTTTTTGGATGTTTTGCAGTTTTTTTTTCCTGTTTTTCATTTTTTTCCCTTTCAGAGCCTTTCGGGGCAAAATCCCGTATCTCCTGTAAAACCAATTCCTGGGAACTCCTGGGAACTCCTGGGAACTCCTGGGAACCCATGGGAACATTGTCACCGTGGGACGAATGTATGGCCAGTAAAAAAAAACAAAAATGCACACATAAACCTTTCGAGGCCGTGGCCCGTACCACCAATATGTTGTATTGAAAGGGTTTTGTTTCCCAAAAAATGCTCGAAACCTACTACGGAAGACTTCACCGTAGCGCTGAACAAACCAAAAAACACGAAGAGCACCTCAAAAAAAACTATCTGTTTCTCATCCAGTCAAAAACCAATCATGTCAGGCAAAGCCGACAGGCAATTTCCAGAAGTCGGCCAAACTGACACTACCAAAAAAAACCGTTCCAGCTTCATTTTTGACAAAATTCAGCTTCAGCCAACTCCAAAAAAACTAAATTCACAAAAAATCGTTGAAAAATGGAAAAAATGAAGAAAATCTTCAAAAATCGTTAAAAAAAAACGTTTTTCAGCAATTTTTCGTTGAAAAATGTTGAAACAAGCTGTTCTGTGCTGGGAAGGGGTCGGCCAACCGCAAGCGTGCACAAACTCTAAATACCCTAAGGTCCCGGGAGTGAAGCAGCAAAAAACTCATGGGTTTGCTGCTTGGGTTCACACATTGGTCAAGCAGGAAAAATGTTGTCCCAGATTCTGTCAGCCTTCAAAACAATGTATGTTTCAATTAGTTTCAATGGAATCCACCATGAAAGCATTGTCCTTCCGGAAACTTCGTTCAAATCAAAGATGAAACGGCCGCACCTTAGGGTGCTATCGGTGAAAAGGGCTAACTGTTTGACAGCTGTAGACATGCACCACATCACATGCAGCGTTCGTTCACTGCACTTGCCAAACAAAGAATCACATTGTGGGATGCTCCTTTACCCTCTGGCAACTTCTGTCCGCTTGGTAAAACATGGTTCCGCGCTTCCAAATCAAAATGGATCGAAATTCCGACTCTGCAGTGTTTTGGTTGGTTTAAATTGAAATTTGTTTTAATTTGTTTGGTTATGTTTGTGTTTAGTTTGGTTGATAGTTGTTTGTTGTTTCATGCAACATGAAATTAAATAAAAGTTGAGTGAGTAAAGCGCAAAAATTCTCAATGCCAAAGCTCCCTGTCAGAGTCAGACTGTCACGCCGCGCTGCAAAAAAAAACAGGAGAAACAGCCCCTCAACGGTCCATTGAATGTTCCAGTGGAATTCACCGGAGAATAATAGGGCTTCCAACAAAGCCTGCTGCCACGACTTAGAGAATGGCAAAACATACTCCAATGAAAAACAAACGCCACTTCAGTGACTAAACAAAGTGAATCTGCGCAACTCTCATTAAGCGTGACCTCTGGTTGCAAACATGAGCAATTACTTCTAGAGATCCGCACCCCACCCACTAACCATGACTTGGGAAAGCTATTGACAGAGATTATGAGGAAGGAGGTAGGCCTATGACAAGGAGTCTGACAGAGGCGCTTGCAGCATTTTTGACTGCGGTCCTTGGCACTGCATGCATTCCGACGGTTACCGTTGGCAACGGCGTTCTTCGCCAGGCGTATAAGGTCTTGGAGCTGGTCTTGCTTCCAACTTCACTGATCTGCTTCTCACTCTGACTCTGATCGGCTCTTGATGCCACTGCTTTTCAGTTGACTTGAGAAAAGATTGATAACGCGGTCATGTTTCAGTTTCAACTTCACCTGGAAATTCCCAACAAAGGGTGGTGGGAGTCGGAGTGGTAATGGGGTTGGATGGAGAAACCCTTTCAAACTTATTTCCCCTATGCTTGAAACCAAGATGGTAGAGCCCTGTTCATTTGAGCCCTTCGCTTGGGTTTTGAAAGCTTGCACATGGTCTAGCATAGCTGCTCCAAACACATCCAAGTGGCCCAACAAAGAAGAATAGGCCCAACATAGCCTCCACATGGCCCCAAGATGGAGCCAAATGGTATGGAACTCAACATAGCCTCCCAATGGCCCACTGTCATTATGTTTTTTGCTGGAAAGAATTTGCCACTTTGCTTGGCCCCTTCAAAGTGTACAACACGGACCCCACCAAGTCCCGAAAGCCGCCAACAGAGCCCAACATAGCCCTAAAATGGCCCAACAGAGGCCAACATAGCCTCCAAATGGCCCAACATAAGCCCAAAACCGACCCAAAATTCAACCTCAACGGAACCATGCGTCCGTTGGGGTTGAAATTTTAGACCCGAAAGACGCTAACAGAGCCCTAAAATGGCCCAACAGAGGCCAACATAGCCTCCAAATGGCCCAACATAAGCCCGAAACCGACCCAAAATTCAACCTCAACGGAACCATGCGTCCGTTGGGGTTGAAATTTTAGGCCCGAAAGCCGCTAACAGAGCCCCAAGTGGACCAACATAGCCTTAAAATTGCCCAACAAAGGCCCATGTTGGGAGCATTTGGAGCTTGTTGGGGCTATTTTGGGCCATGTTCGACAATCTGGGCAGCTTATGGTGGGCCAAAAATAAAGGGCTCCTTGCCACTTAAAATAGACCGGACCAAGTTTGGCCCACCATAAGCTGCCCAGATTGTCGAACATGGCCCAAAATAGGCCCAAAGGAAACTTGACACTTGGTGGGGTCCGTTTTCCGGGGCAAACCCAAGTAGAAAAAATGGCAGTTGACGGTGCTTAGAAAACAGTTGTCAACTTTTTTTTGGCGGGTTTGATCCCTACTTGTGATAGCTCACAAATTTGGTTTGGTTCTGACGAATAAGGATTTCGTCTTTTTTCAAAAGGGTGACATCTTGTCTGCAGAACTTTTGTAAAGGAAATCATCTTTATGGTTGCAAATCAAAGGCAATGCAACTTGCAGCGGAGCAACCGGTCCTTCCAACTGCACCAACTTTTGGCACAGGGAAATCAAATCCAAAATCCAAAGTCCAAAGGGAAGAGTTGGGCAGTTGGTCACCCCTGGGGCCGCAAGGCCCCTAAGCCCTATCAACTATCAACCCAGACCCTTGCCAATTTGCCAATTGACAAGCTTGGGAACTTGGGGCCCCTGAAAATTTGGACTTGAACTTGAAGCCTTCTTGAAGCTCTGTAATGAAAGCAAGGCTTTCTCTTGACCGTTGCCGAAACGACTGTCAGAAGAGCCGCTGGGCTAGTCTCGTTGCAAAACCGCTGGCCCTCAGCTTCCTTTACAAATAACATGACGACGTGTGAACAAACACACACGCAAAACAAGGCGCCATGTCCAGGCCAAACAAATGGGTCGGAAACTGCCATTCGACTGCGCTACATGATCCTGACACAGGATCAAATCAACGTGGAATGCAAAGCTGCAAAGCTGCGGTGTGAGTAGGGGTGAGTATTAGAGAAAAGAGGACAAACAGACAAACAGACAAACAGGAGAAGACGACAGGACGACTGGCATGAAATCTAGAGACCTTCACTTGATAGGTAACAAAGAAATATTTCAATGTTTGGCTCTGTCCTGCTGCAACTAAACATGCCCCAATCCCGCGCGCAAACAAGATCAATGCCAAGAAACAAGAAACGCCAATGTCTTGCGCAAAGCACTGCTGCAAACGTCTGGCTAGCCACCACGGATTTCCAACCGCCAACTGCCTCCAGAGTAGCTCCACTTGAAGCCTGACGGTGGTGGCAGGTTGGGGCTGATGTACCCAAACTGCAAAGCTTCTTGCAGAGCAGGTGGCACTCCATACTTGGTGCCCTTGGTGAGCCTGTTACGCTCTCTTTGAGCTAAGCTGGTTGAAGGCACACCGCCAGACAAACATAACGCCTCCATTCTCTCATGAACGTCTTTTGGTACATCCTTCCCGGCTGCCCCCAAATCATGTTTTTTCAACGGTGTCTTGTCACCTAAGGCGGCTTCGCCAAAAGGAGCCACCACTGCAGCATCTGCATCGGGCACTGCAATTGAATCAAGTTCCTTCTCAGAAAGCAAGGTTCCCTCCCCCAAAGCGGTTTGCAATTGCTGTCTGCTGGACCTGTCCATGTGGGCTTCCTTGTTGGGAAGGCAGTGGCCCAAGAGGACCCAGGCCTTCAAGATGCGGCGGGCGTTTTCCTCAGAGCCAGCAACTTGAACAGCAAGCTCCCGGCTGCATTTCTTTCCAGGCATGTTGTGCTGTGGGAGACAACATTGCATATGGTACGAGGCAACGGCCCCATCTCTATAGCGAGGGACCAAGTGATGCAACCCATACTCTACTCTGTTTGTCCTGTCACGCTTAAATTCACCCGGTGCCACTGGTAAAGCTTTCGGTTTTGAAGCAGCCTTTGATTTCACCTTGGCTGCTGGCTTGGCAGCTGCAGCTAGGGCTGCGCCTGGCTGATTGTCCGTGCCACCATCAGATGAGGAGCTGGACGAACTTGAGCTGCCACTGCTCGAGCCACTGCTGCTAGAAGAATCAGAAGAAGAAGCGGCAGCACCTGGTTCTTTGGAAGACTTTTCACGGTCTCCACCTTCTCCAGCAGGCAAAAGGCCAGGACTTTCATCGCAAGACCCATCCACCTGCCCAAGCTCACGCAGAAGGGAATCATTAGAAGTTTCATCGGAGACAAAGCCACTGCCAACACTCTCCGCATCTTCGCCGTCCTCCCCAATTTGCTCTACAACAGCCTCAGCTGGCACAACAACGGCTGCTACCTCAGTGATTGCTGGAGCATCACCAATGGCAGGGTCACAGGATTGCTTTCCTCTCAATCGTTTCCTTGGGCGACACGGCGGTTTGTCAGAGTCCTGCATCTCCACAATGTCCCAATCATCCCCATCGGCAAGGGCTTGCACACGGGCAGACTTCCTCTTGCGGCTGGCTCGCTTCCGGTCTTCCAGACGCGCTAGCTCCTGTGGGTCCACAATCTCCAAATAATCGGCCAGCTGCTTGAAATGAGGCACTGCGCATTCATGATCACGTGCAGAAAGAAGTGCTCGGGTATACGCCTTGAATCGGCTGCTGTGGGGATCAGAAGCATCTGCAAGAGAAATCCACCAACGCTTCGGGCCATCTAGTGTGTATGGAGCTTGCGCTGCTTCATTTCTGACAGGGTGGGCAGCAAGGAATCGGCAAGGAACACGCATAAATGGGTATGTGGTTGGTTGAACAAGGAGGAATATGACAACAAGAAAAGTCTTCCAACGTTTAATGAAAAGAACACCTTGTCTCTTCAATGCGGAAACCAAAAACAAACTTTGCAACACGCAATGGCTCCATGTTTTGTTTGAACACCCCGGACTGAAGGGCAGATGTGCGAGCAACCATGCGCTCCCAGCCATCATTGCACAATTGCTCCACCAACTCATACGTCGAGCGATCAGCAAGAGGAAGTTGCTCCCTAATGCCCATGACAGGAAAGGGTGCAGTCGCACACACCAAGGTCCGTCCACTATCTACATCAGTTTGCACATCAGCAACTGATTCCTCCCATCCTTCAAAGCTGCGTATCTGGGCTGCTGTCAGGGATGACAAAGACAACACAAGCGGGCACGATTGAAGCTCGCTCTGACTGGCAACATGCGAAGACAACGCCACATCAGATGTTTCCACCATGTATGACCTTTCAGGCGCGCCAGCCACAGGGCCGGCATTCTTCAAAACAACAACACCAACATCACTGGCATCAAAACTGACTGGAGCTGCAAGCTTCGCCCGAGAAAGACCACAACTGACAATCCTGAAAAACACGGTGTCCACATGGGAAGCGTGGGCAACCAACGCATCTGTGTAGGATGATACAGGCACAGCTTCATCGCCACCTGCTTTCAAACCCTCTTGATGTCCTTCTTGGGCTTGGCTTGGGGCAAGCCATTGAAACAATAGCGTCAAGGCAGTGCTTGGCAAGCTGCACGAAAACAATCTGCGTTGCTCCTGGTTCTTGCACAAGCTCTCAAGTTGCTGCTTCACATGCCGTAATGCCAGAGTGTGTTGCATCTCCAAAAACTCAATGGCAAGATCAGACCCCTCTGCAACCTGATCCTGCAAAGGTTCATGGCGTGCTCTTGCTGGTGCCGCAAGCTTGGCAGAAAACAATGCTGGCGGGTCCCGGTTGTACAATGAAAGAGGATCTGCGTGGTACACTGTCTTCCGGTAGATTGGGTCCCACCCATTTTTCGCAAGCCTGCAGCTAGGATGCCTGGCAAGCCCCAATTGGGACACTAGCTTCTGAGGGCTCCTGGCCACTTGCACGCATTCAAGAAATGCTGTTACATCGGAAGACGACAAAATGCGCTTGATTTCAGACAAGCGCAAAGCCAAGGAGTCGGTTGCTTCTGTGCGATTTCGTCTGCCGCTGGCATACATGTTGACCTGGGCATGGCCACCTTCCACTTTCCGCTCTGTGCCCCAAGCAAATCGGAAACTTGCAGTGAAAAATTCCAGATTCTCAAGCAACTTAAGGTCTTCACCTTCAATAAAAAGTTCGGCTTCTTCATGCAATTTTTGCTCTTTGAGTTTCTGAACCAGGGGGTGTTGGCATTGGGATGACATGCAACGTTGGAGCACATCTTTCTGCAAGTCTGGCATTTCTGGGTCATGGTGCGCAAGGCCAAAGAGCAAAAGCGGCGGCTCAAGGAAACAAGCCATTTTCAACGTCAGTTGAAAAGTCAAATGCCCTCGACCATGCTCAAAATCCAAAAGGCACGCTGCTCGACAATCCTCTGCCAAAGAATCTGGCAACTCTAGAAACAATCGTGCAGCATTGGCCAAGCATAACCGGTTCAAGATATCAAAGAACCTTCCGCAAGAAATCTCTGGCAAGCGCCTTCCGCGCAATGGGCAAGCCTGCCATCTTCGCTTGATTGCTGGATTGTCTGTTGGGGCTTGGCGTTTGTAGTGGCATGGGCATGACTCCACCCAATCAAACAAGTCACGCACAACTGTAAACAATTTGTCCAAAGCAAGTAGCTGGGCCCAAAACTCTGGACTTTCAATGGTTTCATTGATGTACTCCAGCCTAGGACCTGATTCTTCTGATGCCTGCTGCTGTGCTGGCTTTTGGCCAGAGCCGTGGTTGAAAGCTTGAAGGCTCCAAAATCGCTCAAGGGGCGCCTTGAGATCCAAAATTTGTGGTATTGCAAAAGCTATAGATCCCCACCTGCTCTCGTTGACTTTGGCATGGAAGCGTGTGAAATCTCCTTTAAAAATTGAAGCAACTGGGCTTGAAAAACATGTTGCCAGCAACCGTTCCTTGCTAATCTTTCCACTCAAGAAGCGCGACAGAGCAACCAGTCTGGGCACTGCTTGGCCCAAATATGGCAGTTGTTTGATAAGAAGATTTGTTGCATTGTGCAGTACATGTAACGGACCTGGCACTGACAACATGTTTGCAAATGAGAGTGAAGCTTGCGCTTCCTCATCGACTACCACATCAAACCCATCATCCTGCAGATGGTCAGCGTCCAACTCTGGTGCATCCTGGCATTCCACTTTAACCTCAAACCAAGGAAACAATGTACGAAATGAAGTCGGCAAAATCGTGCTCAATGAAAACTCCACACCGAGATCAAATGTTCCAGCAACAATGTCTCTGGCAAATTTTGACAAGCAAGCCTCTGAATGCCCAGCTTCCAACATCATTGCAAACATGACCGAACAAAATTTATCCTGCAAAGACGTGCGCCCAGATCCCAATGCCATGATAGGCAAATGGTGCTCATCAATGCCAGAGCTGAGAGTTGCCATAAGTTCCTCTTCTATTTGCAAAGCAGGAGCGTCATCATCCTCCACAGCATGCCTCAGCTGAAAAGGGGCAATACAATGTGAATCGTGGCCTCAAAAACTTGATGTGCTACACAAAATCCAAACATGCCAGCCCTTGACAATCAAGTCAGCAAATTTCTTCAGGGAAAAAAAGCTCGATCATGTCAAGGTGAATGGCTTATTCACATCAAAAATGTTGGAACTGCCACTGGCAGCGGAATCTGAAGCAAAACCCAGGTTCCATGTATCCAAAAGAGAACAGGCAGTGCGAAACAGCAGGCAAACATCAGAAGCTTTCACACTGGCGACCATGATGTGCTCAAAATCTCTCCCGTGCTGCGTTGAAGCATCTGCCATCAAGTAGCGAATGGCGCCACTTCCTGACCCTCTGGGAATTTCAGTGTTGGTTCGCCGCTGAAACAACATAAACGCACCATCAAGCAGGAGTTTCCAACGCGATATGGTGCTCTCATGCGGCGTGCAATGCCGACATGTTTCCAACATGTGTTTGAAAGGGGCTTGGAGCACTTCAGGCAACAAGATGCCTGCTGCACTTTGCAAAACTTCTTGCATGGAGCCGGCAGTCCGAAGTAAGTTGGCCATCGTCACAGCTTTGACTAGAAAGGCAACTTGATATGGTCGCCTTGATGAATACCAAAATGCATTGCCCTTGCCTGTCATTTCTCTAGCTGATCGCACAAAAGCACTGGGGTCCATACCTTGTAGAAGACGTTGAAAAACCCCAACACACCGTTGCAGGGCTAAGTACTCTACATTCTCAAAATCTGCGTCTTCAACATCGGTCAAGATTGTAGCTGCATACGCTTGCAAAAAATCAATCGCTTCGTCCAAAACATTGGTGTCCAAAACCAAGTTGGAATCAGCATCTGGAAATGTAGAAGCATGACCTGGCAAAACAGGCACATCCTCAGATGTGAACCCGCACAACTGCCAGTTCATTGTGAGCCCAGATGAGCCACTCCTCTTCTTATTTGGCAAGTGCGGCAGCAATATTGCAGAGAATGTCCCATTCAAAACTTTCTGGATAAAGGGTCTTGGGGCTCGCAACACACGTGAAGGAGGGCTTTCCCCCACCCAATCTTGCCGCAGACCTTCAGATTCCAAATTTCCTAACAAGCGAGGGCCCTGCTCAGGCTCCAGTGGAGCAACCAAACTCCTGAAACGACTCGCCCCAAACTGCTGCACATCAACAGGACAAGCCAAAGGTATGACATGCTCAATGTCAAAAATGAATGCCTCACCATGCAAACTCTTTCCAGTAATCTGTTGCCAAAATTTCAGTTGCCGTTTGATGCCTGCAGGAACCTGAAGCATGGAGTGATAGACTCGAATCGCTTTGATGCAAACCAACGCCCAAATCTGAGCTGCTTCATCTGAACTATGTGCCTCCAAATCGTCGGTGTCTGACTCCGCTTCTACAGAAATCAAAATTCGATGTTTCTGGAAACTCAGTGTGTGCATAGAAGCCAGCCAAAGCACTAGCGGAAAAACCATGGCCAATAAACAATTTTGAAAAACTGTCGCTCCTACTTTGTTTTCAGTTTGGTTTAGTTGTTGAATATGATATTTGAAGTTGCACATATTTCCTGAACCAATCCCCCAAACAAAGTTATCGTTTGTGACCATCTTGAAGGGAATCCCCAAACATCAAGTAACTGGTTTACATTTAAAAAAAACCAACTTGATGAAAATGACCTGGCGCCAAAACAAACATAAGTTTTGTCGTGCGAGTTTCAAAATTCAATCTCCCCACCCATTGCTGAAACAGAGCTTCTCAGAAAAATTCAGTCTGCAACCATCTCTACATGCACATGATTTTGGCTTGCGCCTTTCATATCCCATCTCCACATGGCACATTGGCCTGCTGAGCCAACAAGCAAATTTGTAGAATCTCGTAAATGTCTTCAACCACCACATGAAAACAAAGGCTGCCTGGAAATCGTTGCTTCAAAAAAACGAGGCATTCGAAACTAGCAAAATCTGACAAACAACCAGGTTTTGGAGCGCCCCCATCCTGTTAGGTGGAGTATGACTGTGAGAATGCTGTGCCCAAACCGCCTGGGTTGCCAAAAAAAATATGGTGTTGATTGGTGTTGTTTTCTGTTTTGTTTGCATGTCAAATACGCCCCAATGAATGAATCCAACCCCTCCATAGAAAATTGATAACCCTTAACCCCCTGTCGTGCATGCCTTTTTGAGGGTGCCTTTACTGAATGTTTGGGTTACTGAAAATCTGAAAACAAAAATTCAAAATTCCCAATAATTACTCAGCAAATCTCAGCAATCTTTCTCATCCCTGCTAACTTGCACAAAGGACTTTCGGACTTGGTTTCTGGTGTAATGCGCTGGTCCAAGATGGGTTTTGGGTATGTGCAAGGCAGATTTAACTAAGACGGTGCATGCAAGGGCGCAAGTGTGATTGCTGCTTCCTTGTCCCGTTTGAAAACTTTGCAATGTTCCAGCTTGGCTTGATGTGGGTCCCTATGGGGCGGGGTTCCATGGAGGTCTCTGGGCGAACCTGACCGCATCATAAGGATCCTTATGATGCAATGAACGCAATTTCCTTTGAAAGGGGTCCTTGGGGTGAAAGGGGTCCGCGCGCGCGCGTGAATGGCTTTCATTTTTTGAGACCTTGCGCGTGAATGGCCCAACTAGGCCTCAAAATGCCTCAAGTTGGTCCCATCAAAGCCTCAAGTTAGAAGGTTCCAGCCAGGTATATTAAATATACCTGCCAAAAACGACTCAACTGCAGCCTTCCATGGCCCAACTAGGCCTCAAAATTCCTCACTTGGACCCCCAGATGCCCAACATTGGCCCAGCATTGGCCCAACTGACACGCAAAGAAACCATTAAGAAGATTTCTCTTGAAAGGGGTCCTCAGGGTGAAAGGGGTCCGCGCGCGCGCGCAAGGTCTCAAAAAATGAAAGCCATTCACGCGCGCGCGCGGACCCCTTTCACCCCAAGGACCCCTTTCAAAGGAAATTGCGTTCATTGCATCATAAGGATCCCTATGATGCGGTCAGGTTCGCCCAGAGACCTCCATGGAACCCCGCCCCATAGGGACCCACATCAAGCCAAGCTGGAACACTGCAAAGTTTTCAAACGGGACAAGGAAGCAGCAATCACACTTGCGCCCTTGCATGCACCGTCTTAGTTAAATCTGCCTTGCACATACCCAAAACCCATCTTGGACCAGCGCATTACACCAGAAACCAAGTCCGAAAGTCCTTTGTGCAAGTTAGCACCCTACAACAAGCACCGTTCTCTGAACAACAATACTCCACGAACCATTTTCTTTTGTTTTGAGTCTTGACTCGTTTGGGTCTGGAAGCTTCTTGCATGACCATCCCCTAGCTTTTCTGCCAGTAATTTTTCATCCCCGTGCCCTTCTTCAATGGCTTGGAGGTAAATGGCCGCAACAGCATCCGTCCCTTGTTCGAGGGTCTGTTCACGAAGTTCCTGACCAGTGATTGGTGAAGTTAAAGCCATGAAATCCTTATCCCCTTCCATTTTCTTACGGGTCCTTGAAGGTTCTTGGGAATCCAGGATGTCATTGAACCGTTTTCTACATTCAGGGGTATGAGAGTATGTACCTTCCGAACACCCTCCACACCCTGGCGTCTTGCCATGGACCGCAATTCTCAAGTCAGTGATGGATCTATGCCTCTTGGATTTCGTGGTGGATCCCGTGGTTTTGGGTTCATACGGAATCCCTCCAACTCCCCCACCACCCGTGCCAGGCACAGGGCTAGTGGGTTCATCCTCTTCAAACAACTCCAACAGTGGGTCAGATCCATCCTGCAAATCTTCAGTCCTAGCAATAGACGCTTCATATGGCTCATCCTCTGGGACTGGTAATTCCAATGCTGAAACGGTTTCTTCTTGGGATAGTGCTGGGAACTTCCATGGACCCCCGGGTATGGCCAAAGAGCGAGTGACGAACTCCTTGAGCACTCCCTCCTTGATTTTGTCCAGCGGCCAAACTCTGTAGTTGCCCTTGAACAAGAAGCCATCAATCAGTTCGGCCCCCAAGAACAATGCTGCAGCCCCTTTAGGGCCATAGGCCAATGGATTGGGATCATGGTACCACACAAGTGCCCCAAATGGAATCAAGAAGGAATCAACCACATACCCCATAGCCTTTTCGTATTTGGTGGGTTTCCATTCATCTGCATCGTCCACCCCAGAAGCAGTTGTGGTGATGTTGTACGCCCATTCCAAATATTTTTGCACCAAGGGCCAATACTGCAGGTCCAACCCGGAATGCACCATTTTGTTGCAGTCATACCCTTAATGGTGCAGACCATAGATTCAGCCAATGGGTTGTGAATCTTTTGGTAGGGGGGAGCCGGCTCACTAGCAAACCCAAGGTCCCTCACGGCCTTTCGAATCTCTGGAGCCCTGTCGCTAGCTACCTGAACTACCCCTGGTCTCTTCTTACCTACAAACCTTCTTAATGCCGAATGCTTGGTGTTAACTGGAACCATGGAGGTCAGACCAGTGAATTGATCAACAATGACTATGGTGTAACCTTCGCCTTTGTGACCAACCTCGTCTCGCGTAACGCTGTGGTCGGCCGAAATCTTTTCGAGGTATACAGGATGTTGGTGCCTCAATTCGTCTCGCTTCCCGCAGTCTTGCATTCATGTGTTCATGCCTGCGATGGGGGGTGGCCATTGGTGTGTTGTTTGTTGTCCCCTTTCCCACTTTCCTCACGGCTTCCTCCCCCTATGGCCCTCTTCCCCCGTGTCCCCCTTCCCTTGCTTTGTGATCCATTGGGTCCTGCGGTTGGTTTTTTGTAATGGTTGCCCTTCCCTATACTGCCTTCTCTCCTCATCCTACCCGTGTTTTTAGGCGCAAACAAAATTTACAAACTCCTCCAAATCTCCCGCAAAGGGCAACGGCAGAAGTTTCTAAACAGATATTGGCCAAACCATAACGGGCGACTGCCATGTCAGCGCCAGATAAACAAGAGAAGACGGTAACAGCACAGCAAGGAAGAACCAAAAAAAAAGAAAAAAAGAAATAGAAAGGTAAGGCAGCTTAGAGTGTATCCCATCAATTTCTTTGTCCGCGTCTTCTTCGCTGATTTCCAGTGGGTCATCTCCCCTTTCCCCTCTGACACCCGCGGCAGGCGCAGGGCCATCAGTGGGTTCCGGTTTGATGGGTGCCACTGGGTCAACGACAATGACGCCTGATTCTCCCCCCCCCACTATTGACGCTGAGTTTCCAAAAATCGGCTTTTGTTTTCAAGGCACCACCCAAAAGCTTTCGAAGGGGCGTTGGTGCAGGGTGGCAGGAATCCTTTGCGAGCGGATGGTATCCAACGCCTGTGCTAACGAGCGGACAACCTGGTGGTTTCGATTGTGTGGGCGATTAGTACACCAAAATGTTGTAATGTTTGGTGCTTCTTGCCAAACTCCGTCCAATGTGTCAAGACGGTCGTCTACGTGAATACAAGCCCCTGCTTCACGGAGAAATTGGCCTTTATCAGCCCTACCACTGACAATCCTAACCCCAATCTTGCACCGTGGGTCAATGGCAGAAGCGTTGAATTCCCTTACTGTTTTTGTCAACGAAGCCCTACGGTCTTGACTCCTCGGTCCACCAACACCAATATAGGATGTGATCCCCACCCTGACACCATGATCAACAGTAGCACTTAAAAAATCCCTCAAAGCAGCTTGGTTATCGGGGTGGATTTCTGGAACCTCCACGTCTCCTGCCTTTGCAACGTTAGCGCAACCGTTGAAATCTACACTAACCCACGCTTCTTGGATCGCCCTTTCAAGAGGTCTTTTGGGGAACTCAACCGCGGGACCTTTGGACTTACAAGTTTGGGGTTCAACCGAGGTATATCAACAGGACGCTTCTTTGGGGGAGGTGGTACAACCAAAGTGGACGACGCAACCTTAGCAGGCCGAAGCACAACTCTTTGGGGTTCTTCGCCAAAAGAGCAGCAGCAGCAATCGCAGCGCGGCGAGGCAAAGGCGAAAAGAGAAGGAGGAACCAACGCGAGGAAAAACACCGGCGCAGGCGCAATGGCGAGAAAAGAAAGAGCGGGATGAGCCTACGGCTGATGACCACAAGTTGCCGCGGTCCAGCCACTTTTACGCATGCTTCAGCATGCTTGAGCCAAAGTATGTTATGGGATATTGTTTATCCCAACTGTGTGAAAAGGCCCCTGAACTTGTTCGTGTTCCCCAAACAGTCAAGTCCTGGGGCTGAGGGAATTAGCCATGACTAATAGCTACAGTTCTGGCCCTTTAACAGTTATAAGTCAGTTATAGCATATTATAACCTCATTCATGGAATGATAAGCCCATAAAAATAACCCTTTATGACTCATGACTGGTATCAAGGGCTTTTACATGCTTTAACTGTATGATTGGACAAATAGTGGTAGCTTTAACTCGACTAAAAATCGTCGATCCCAGCTGAGATGGCGCATCGCCAAGTGA